CTTGACATTGACTTGTCACAAAGATAAATTATGGGATCTAGTGATTTTACATTCATTGATTTCTGTATGTGATGACGGACAGTTATGTGTTTTTCACTAACCATTGGAAGGTTATAGCCACGTTATACTTTCTACAAATATTGCTGAAAGCATTATTACTGTGCCGATTGTAAAATATGGTATACAATTTTTATATAAGTTATACGTTTAATTCATATAAAAATTGAAAAGGGAAAAAAACGGTTTAATTGTGAAAAGAAATATTAAAAGTATTTAAAAATAATGTAATGATTATCGAAAAGGGAAAAAAAAAAGATAATTTGATACATAATTTCCAATAATAGACTTTTGTCTTGTGAAACAACTGATCGAGAATCCCATCACTCGATATCAAACTTTAAAACTTTGTTGAGCGAGTAAAGCAAATTGTATACAACGAGCTGATCGCATGGGTCGTATAATAGATGGTAGAGTGTACAGATTAGTAAAAAGCATTTTACAATGTAAGTAATTAAAATATTTAGAATTCATGTTTTGTGTTTTCCATGTGCGATAATCTCTTAATTACTTTCCTAAAATTTACAGAATATTTTGGATGATGAGTACATGCTTCGCGTTTCGCTCGCTAATGTTATTCTTCATGCTAAAGTTCTTGATATCGATGAACCACATGTACTTCTTTCAATCCCTTGATCCATCAGTTTTTCTAATTTGGCAAACGATATTCTAATCTTAAAAGAAGTCGGGGCTTTGATAGATGAGGACGATTCCTACCTACCTTTCGATGGAAAATTAACTGATCTTGACAAAGCGATGGCGCGTTTTCCGCTCGATATTCGAATTTTGAAATTTATCATGTTGGGCTACGTTTTTGGAGTATTACGAGATGCTATTATTATGGGAGCTGTCTGTTAACGATGTTTTTATTCTTGAGAGATGCCATTCTACTGTTTCTTCATATACTACACGGAAAAAAAAATAAATAAATTCGTTCCTACGGTGACTGCATCGCTACTTTAAACGTTTGTAAAATGTGGCAGAATGAAAAGGCAAACTGTCGATTAAACACTTATCAAGCCGAGATAATGGACCTAAAGAAATGGGGGGAGGTAATTCTCTATTTAAGAATTCTTCGTGAATTGGATGCTCTAGCGAATAAAGTCATTAATTGATTATTCCATTTGGGAATTAAAGAAAATATTGAAATAAACAAAGTCATCTGGGAAGGTATATTTATTTATTTTTAAATTATTTGTGATTGTATTATTACTTTTTAATTTAATTATTTTTAATTAGTTTTTAATCATGTGTATGTATCATGTGTGTATACATTATAAACATTGAATTGATAATTTGTGTCTTCTGGTATTTTGCAATTATATTTTATGTATAATGTAATATATCTTACATTAGATTGTTTTCTATCATCAAAATCTATCTTCCAATAATTTTATAATTAGATTATAATTATAATTTTCTTATTTTTTATCTCTTTTATCGTTATTTCGCCATTGTTATTTTATCGTTATAACAATAGAATAATAACTTTGGTAACCAATTTTTATCAACTTTAAACTTATAGATAAATAAATTGCTAAATAATTGGATAAATATCGGAATGCAACTGGACGATAACTGTAATGATGATGATATTATAATTTGTCAAAATAAACACATTTTACTCGAATTGAAAAACAAAAAAAGTCACAAAATCCGGAAGATGATAAAGTCGATTATTTTAACAGTGAATGGAATTATTATAACAAATTTTTTATCATCTGCTCTAGAAATGACGAGAAAATGTGACGTATATTGCATAAAGCAATATTAGAACTACGCGAAACAGATGAACAGACCGAGGATATGTTGAAACATCTTTTACAATTACAGTATGCCAGCGAATATGTAAACAGTATCTTTATGTATATTATTATATAACTATATTTTGTTTTACTCTTTCATCAGAGATACACGCGTAGTGGGAAATGTAACTGCTTTTTATAAATTATGTAAAAAGAAAACAATTGACTTATTAGAATTACATAGTCATCTTTATTCGGAGAAACATCTCGAACGAAAACGAGAAACTTTTGTTATTAACACATTAAGTTGAAAATTAAGATACTATAATCAAATTTCTTTATTCTGAAATTTTCCCTGCATCTTTAATTTTTTTCTGATATAGTCTCT